GTAAATTCCTTACGGCGGTTCCCATTATTTTGTAAGTAACTAGCCTAAGCAAAGTTAATAAAATTATGGTTGGATAAATTCTTAATGCCTATTTTATAGATTCCTGCTCACCTGCATCTATACAAGGAATGATCCCGATCACTTTATTGCAAACTTCATTTCCCTTGTACTAGTAACTTTGCCCAAATTACCACAGTTCCATGGAGTGCGTCTCTTCAACATAAATAAATACTGAATTGTCAATTATAATGCCATTCGGAGCTTTGAGATGGTGGAAAATGTTGTTTGTATGAACTTTTTATAGACTGAGTGGATATGATTGGTACATGGATTCAAATTAACTTTAGTGACAGGATATTTTATACGAGTTTGATATTACATCTTTACTGTATAGCAAGTACAGCAGCAATTGAGTTGAAGGAAATGGAAGTGACATTAAAAATTAAAGTAAAGCATTCTTAAAATAAATAAGTTAATAGTAAAAACAAATATTTTTAAAGCAAGCTATCTAAATATAAACGAAATCGGACTATAAATATTGGTTTACCTAATATGTCGACTGGTTTGCCACCTATCGTTAAAATTTGTAGTGGAGTTATTCCTTTTAATGAAATTAATATATGTTGTAAATCGGACTATAAATACGGGTTATTCAAATATCTCGACTCTTGCGCCACCTATCGGATTAATCCATCTGTCGTATTGCATCGTCATCGGGTTCTGAGGCAACTGTGAAGTTTCAAGCCCCAAGGTATTCGGGAAGCTGGTCAAAAATTTATTGTAAGATTTGCTCCTAACAAACATACATACATACAGAGCAAGCTAATCAAAAGCATCTATAATAAATAAAAATTAAGCCCGAATGTATTATCTGTTATGCAAATGATGCAATGGTAGGAGAAATGAAGGGGTTATGGGTTGATCATAGGTAGCAACGCAATCTCATTTGGGTTGTCGGTGGAAAAGGCCACTGAAGTGAAAATATATGAATGACAACTATAGTAAAGTGCTATTAAGTTGGAGATAATAGAATTTTGAAGTACCAGTAAATAAGCTGAAGAAACTGTTGGATAAAGAAATAAGTTCTTAATAAAAATTCTGCGGCAACCACAAAAATTCAACTTTCAGTTGTAATCGACCCATTAGTCGTTAAAAGTTTCGTTAAGTTTCCACAGAGTGAGCCGAAAACGAATTAATAGTAGTGCCACAGATATTTAACATTTTAAAATAATTAATTTATTGTGAAGTTCATAGATATATTTCAAGCTACAAAACATAATAGGGATAAAGTATGAAATGCATAATAATATTTTTAAAGACTTCACAATGCCACAGAATTTAATTTAACATTTGAGTCACCCTGTTCATTTCTCCGACGGCACTACGTAGTCACAATTGTGTGCCAACATTGAAAAGTCGATTGCCAACGTGAAATTGTTGCTTGATTTAAAATATATTTTTCTGCCACATTAGCCACTTTATTGCACCTGTGCACAGTTTGTTGTGTTCTTTTGCAACAGTTAATTGAATTGTTCAACAAAGTTTTTCCTCGTAGCTAGTGGTTTGACAAATTCGATTACAAATTTGATCTCCGCTCGCGACAACAGTACCTCGAGCAAAAGGAAAAATAATCAATTATCTTTTTTTTGTGGGGTGCCTGCAAAGCAGTGAAAAAGTATTCAAACTGTTGAATTTGCCGCAATTATACTTGCAAACATCATCGTCATCATCTCATAGTGCCCGGAGTAGTAATATGCCTGTAAGTGATGTGTTAGTATTATGGCTCTTACATTTAAAATAACAACAGATTTTGTTTTAGGTTCACGAATTTAGAGTGGAAATGACTTGTTCAGGATGTTCCAACAGCGTGGAGCGTGTTTTAAACAAGTTGGGTGGTAAGTGGGGTTGGCAAGGGTGATGTATAATAAGCTCCAAAGTGTTTCTCTTTTTATTACATATTCATAATATTAGATTCCTTGGCGATATCCTTGTAGTTTTTTTTACTTGTCCCTGAGCTTAAGTAGTTTTTATCGTCTGCAAACTTGTTCTTTCAGCGTTGCTTACACAACCTCAAGGTTTATTATAAATGAATTAATTGGGCTTACAATTTAATGCATGTCCAAGGCGAATTATTTGCAAATAATACAAATATGCACATACGTATGTATATGTTCTATCAAGTTAGCAACAAACTATCTTTGCTTATCAGCGTTGTGCTTTTGTCCAGGCATTAATTAGGACGGAAAAATAAAAGTGATTGCAAATACACCAATTAAGATTGCATAAGTAGTTTTAATTATCTATTCACCTATATCACATGCATATGTCTTGTATATACATAATTACTTTCACTTTTCTCTATTTCTTTGCACAGCGGAAAAAGTGGAAAAGGTCAGTATCGATCTCGATTCGAAAACAGTGCTTGTGACATCGAATCTGACTTCAGATGAATTGTTGGAAACTATCAAGAAGACTGGCAAAGCGACGCAATATGTAGGGGTGAAAGAATGAAACGAACTTTTTTGCAAGTTCCGCAAAATTGCCAAATTAAAAATGGAAGTTTAATGGATGTAATCAAGTAAGTATTCAAGAATTAAAGTGGCGGCGATAGGCTCAACAGTGAAACTGTAAAAGGCCAATTAAATTTATATTTTGCGATTATAAAAAAAAAAAACAATAAAAAATCGTTACCTATAACGATCCATTGAGTTATACTCTCAACAAATATAATTAAATTATACATTTAATTAAAATTTAAATTCATAAAAAGAACAAAATGGACCAGTAAAATTGTATCTCTTTAAAGATTATATGTATTTACATAATTAGCGAGTTCATCGTACATTTAATGTAAACCACAAATTTTAATATACAAAAAAGAAAAATAAGTAAAAATTTATTCGCATTGGCAGTATGTATATTAATAGATACATATTTACAAAGCAAAGTCGATTTACACAAAATAATCTATTTAAAATAAAAATATAAATGTAGCCATCGTCAATTTTCAAACCTAATGTTAATCCAAAAAAAGTTCTATCAAAAATTTAAAGAATAAACTCGAAAAACAATCCAATTGAAAAAAAAAACTAATTAGTAAGGGGGTGTTCAATGGTTTGCTAAACACTATAAAAATTGTCATTTTGACTACACTCAATTATTTTTCTAGAGGTTCCCAAATCTTGTAAGTAATAATTTAATACAATGTAAATTGTTAACGTACAAAGTTTAAAATACAAACAGAAATACATACGTATGTACACATCACATTTAATGAATTACAAACAATGCATTTTCTATGAATATTATTCTTTGCTGTAGCTGTTGCAACGCAGTAACAATTTCCGCCAATTGTGTCTGTATTGCGCTCAATTCTAACTCCAAATCGCCTTTACTTGATGTTTGCGTCCAAACACACCGCAACATTTCAGAGTTTAATATCTATGAGTATAAATGAAACAGATTTCAATTTGATTTTATAAACTAGATTTTATTTGTAAGTAGAAATGCTTAAAAATGTGTGTCAAATAGAGATTTCGGACACAGCAACAAATGAATAAATATGGTATAAATAAATGAAGATATCGGTATAAATTCCATTCTTTAACACAAATGGTTTTATTCTTCATTTTTCTAAGTCCGACAAAGAGGCAATAGCATCAGCAGCATTCCAAGCAGTTAAGCGAAAAAAATCTTAAGATAAGCAAAAATGAAAATTAAAAATATTTGCTTGGTGTTCTCTGGCCATCGCTGTTGTTACTTTTGTTTGGCATGTGTAGAAACGAGGTACTGCTGTTGCTTTTGTTACTGATGCTATCAGCAAAAGCGTTTGTTTCTATTTTATCTAACGACTCGTGTTGTTGACGGTGTGGTGTGGTGAAGCTGCTTGGAGATGGCTCTCTTGTAGTATATTGGCTATCAAGCACCTGGAAATTTTCATCACGCATTCCATATGCCACCGATTGTCGTGGATCAATTAAAATACTGTCATCACAGCCTTTTGGTGCCCCAGCAGCTGGTGTGTCTATGGCGGAGTTATGTGGAGCTGTTGCATGACTAAAATCTATTTGAACTCTTTGAGAACTGGCTTGTTTGTTGCGAAAGCTATTGGCATCAAATGTATGCAAATTAGATTTCCAAACGAGCAACTGTTGAATATAAAGAAAAAATTTATATTATATAATTTTTTCACACACAAAGCAGACATTACCTGTCGATCCTCGCCCGCGGAAGCAAAATGTCTACCATCTGGAGAGAAAGCGACGGCGCAAACTTTGTCAGTATGGCCAGTTAGTGTATAAATTGGTCGACCTTCTAATAAATCGAGCAATCTTATTGTATCGTCATCGCCGCCAGTCAACAAGAAATTTCCACTTGGGTGAAATGCAACATCATTCACCGGCGCCGAATGTACTTGATACAATTGTATTAGCTCGCCTTCGGCTATGTCAAATATCTTAACGCGGTTACAACTTAATGCTAAAGCCACCAGATTACCGTCTGGATGCCATGCCAGCTGTCGTCCCATACCTCTTTCCTCGGTGAAGGTTCGCACACATTCGCCTGAAGATGTATCGAAAATCCTTAACGACTTGTCGTCGCCGCACGATGCAATTAACTGGCCATTAGGGCTGAATTTTGCTGCACGCACCCAATTTGTATGTCCAGTGAAAGATGTTAGGAATTTACGTTGGGCGACTTTCCAGAGTTTTAGCGTTTTGTCGTCTGATGCTGTAATTAGCTGTATAGATTTCGAAAAACTTATTACAATGAATTTTGTGAAAACTAATAAACTGATCGTTAGTAACCACATTACCATCGTTCCGCTGGGATCAAAATCTACACTTCGAACCGCCTTGCTATGTGCCAAAAATTCACCAGAAACACCGCGTATTTTCGGTTCCCAAATCTTCACAGTGCGATCTTTACTCGCCGACGCCACTAAATTTGATTTTGGTGACCAGCTTACGCTATCCACAGCTCCTGAATGCGCACTAAAACGGATACAACGCGCAGCTTGCTTTAGATCCCACAAAATCACGGAAATATCTAAGGAACTGGTAGCCAAACGTTGGCCACACGGACTAAAGCGCACCTGCGTAATACCAGAGCAATGCCCGGCGAAATGGCGCTCCAAACAAGGTTCCGCAAATAATTCTTCGTCTAACATATTGATAGCTTGTATACAGGCGAAATTCCCTTTAAACTTTCAGCAGTAGTGAAATAATTCTGGAAAAGGCGAAAATGCAGCTTATTTCTTTCGGACGGCAATTTTTAAAAATTCAACAGCTCTCGTTGTCAAAACAAAAGTTATAACGAGTAGATATGCAGACAGTACGAGCAAAAAAATGTGGTGCAATTTCTAGCTTGGTATTGATGCTGTGAGCAATTTATATGGCATGACATGTCTTGCTGTGTAAAATCACTTTTTTTGGTAATGATTGTAGATAGAAAAAAATATAATCCCCACAACTAAATAATAGGAAAAGAATGAAATCAACTTGTAGATATTTCATGATTTTAAAATTTAAATGATTTCCAGTTAAGCAGCTCTGCCATCTACCATAAATACATACATATCGCACACCACCTTCAAAAGAGTCACAACTCAAAATTTGGCATTTTTGAGTTTATGTGCTTAAATTGTACACAGGGCTTTTATTTACCTTTCAGCAAAAGCTGGAGCAAATTTTTGTTATAATTTGTTTAAAAAAACGCCCCCAAACCATATGATTATCATGTGCTAAGAAATAGTTTTTCGCATGATACAAAAAATAAGGTAGTTCCATTGTCACTTTTTCGTCGCCATATTAACATCCTGACAATTAAGCAGATTGTGACATTTCGTGCTAAATCTATCTAAAATCCTTCAAATTTTCTTATTAATTTCTTGTCGATTTAAAAATCTTTGTTCTTAAGCATAGTATTTTATTTTTTTCTTGGCAAGAATGTAATCCCTCAAGGTTTAGCTTAACATGGTTCTACAGATACACCCTGTGATCATGTTACTTTCCTGAAGGTATCGCGCCCGTTTTTCTGTACATATTTCCATTGGAAAAATGCCTCATCTCAGTATTCTAGGGAAATGCTTCCAGAGGTATCTATGCGTCACCAGAATTTTAGTTTATATGGCTTATACCGCTACTATCGTAGCTGGCTACGAGAACGTTTTCATATACCCCCATTTTTCATAGGCTTGGAATTGATTTCATTTATCTCTATTCCAAGTTCTACGGTGCCACGCCGAATTTTCCAATAAACCCATATTTTTCCATGAGCTTGAGATTGACTTCATATACATATATCCATACCAAGTTACACCGTAAATACTTCGAGAGACATGCACTGAGAAATGCATGCACATCTCCGGTTTACATCGTTATCGACGTCTTCGACTCCATGCATATATCACGATGTCGTAACGTCAATAACGATGGTTAACCGGAGATTAGGATCAACCAGACTTTGAGTAACCGGCCCTTAGTGAGGGGGAGAATTCTGGATACCTTCTACGACTTGCCTCAAGGATACTTGAAACTCGGATGTATATGGTGCCCTCGCTCGATCGGAGGCTTTCGCCTGGCACATGGTCAACTACTTCGGCTTGATTCTTGACAGGAAGAGGTGCAATGCACTGGATAATGCTATGTTATTCAGTATGCTGGAGCGAGTGCAACGAGGTTCCCTCATTGGAAGCATTAGGGCGCTTAGGACCACTTCCACTCTGGCCCTTAACGTCATGCTTAACATAGCGCCTGTCGATATCGCAGGCAAAGCGGCTGCAGCTAGGGCGGCGGTCAGACTTTGGGGGTGCCTGTCGAACTGTGGTCTGAACGCACCAGTATTCTGTGGGCTTCGATTTCATCCCGGCTAACACGGATCACTCAACGCACATCCCATCTAGGGATAAGTGGATGGAGAAAGTCACGGGTGAACCTTTACACGGATGGGTCGAAGCTTGACGGAAGGGTCGGTGGAGTGGTTTTTTTTCAGGGAGCTCTCCATTAACCCTAAATCTAGGCTTCCAGATCACTGTCGTGTTTTTCAGGTAGAGGTTGCTGCTATTAAGGAAGCAGTCCATTATTAACTTTCGATAGCTTCGGAATATTATTTTGGAAGAACTGGTTATGTTGCCAGGCCATATTGATACCACAGGAAACTGTCCGGCCGATGAACTGACCAGAGCCGGCAAGTATAGCCAAGAGGGAGGGTGGGAGTTCCCTTGACTACTTGTGGACTTCTCTTGGAAAAACGGGCCTCGGGTCAACTCAGCGAACACTGGAGGAAAACCAGACATTTGCTACGGCGTGGTCAATCTGTCCGAGGACGGACCGGAGGCAGCCTAGTTATCTCCATAGGATCGCGAAGTCTGATATTTCGATTATGGTGGGTGTACTGACATGCTATTTTCCTGTCGGGGTTCATGCAGTGTAGTAATTGTATGAAGGTCGAATCATCACATTTCCTCCTGAACTGCCCAGCTTTGGCAGGAGCTCGGCGGGACTAACATTTGCCACCCGCATGTCGGAAAAATGCTAACCGTAACGGTTACCTGCAGCTTGTCCTTCCCCGCGCACGCAAGCACAATTTTAAACAAAGTACAAAGTCGAAATAAAGTCCTCAAATAGCAAACAGGCAGCATTTAAAAGAAAAATAAAAGAAATCTGGATCCTAACATCGATGAAAGGGTCTGCAAAGCTACAACAAATGTGCACTCCTGTATGAGGACTATATAGCGAGAATTAAGGTGTGGAGCCCAAGATTTTAGATGGATTTACATTGCGATGGTAAAACATATTCTCTACTACCGAGAAGAAGTCTGGAGGGATGCTCTTAAGAAGAAGGTAAACGCTAGGAATACGAACAAAGTTTAACAGCTGGATTCTCTGCTGATAACAGGAGCAACGAAGACAACAAATCGGCCACTGTTAAGTTTTGACCGACAGCCGAATAAACCCTACCCAGGATCAAAGCTCGACAGATAAAGGCTTACTCGGAAGTTAGGTAAACCTTCCAGCTTCTTTATTAATGCGGAGTTTTTCAGGCGAAACTGATATATAGCTATCTAAATTGCCTACTCAGTACAAAGTAGCACTTGTTGGCAAGAGCGATTCTGCGTTGGATTGGGAGGCTGACATTATTTTCGGTGTTAATGCTGGTTTTCTATTTTTTCGAAACCGTCAACAGTACCGTGCGTGCTGAGGCGCCAATTCGCAGACCAGTTGTTCGATGAGATACTTTAGCCTGTTCCCGTACTCCAGGATTTGCAGGTTTTACAGAAACAGCTGTTTTCGCCTTTAATAAACCTTATGTGAACGTGGCGTACGGGAACGACTTTGGTCTAAATCCTGCAAAACCTGCAAATCGTAGACATTCTGGAACGCTCTGTTTGTCTTGTCCTTGTTTACCACCAGACCCATTCGCTTTGCTTCCTTATCTAACTTGGAATATGCAGAACATACTTCACGTTTTTTGTTACCGATGAAGTTGAAGTCATCAGATATGCCGGCAGTTGTTCTCTCTTGTAGTAAATTATTCTGCCGAGGGGCGACCGCTATTAGAAAAAAACTTTTTTTGTTTTTATTTTTGATATTGGGTTGAACCGAGCTTGAACTCAGGCCCTGCGGTTTGATAGCACGCACTGCTAACCACTACACTGCTGGTATTGCTCATCGTTATTTTACACCGCCGTGTTAGTTTCGCTGGTATACCAAATTCAGATTTCGCAGGATGTAGCAATTCCTTTTTGGTGCTGTAGGAAGCGACTTTAAAGCCGACAAAAAGATGGTGAGGTGAGTATCGATCCTCTTCTCGCGGGTCCTTTCCAAGAATTTGGCGTATGATGAATACCCTGCTATGCGTGTCTCGTAATAGTCGGGAGACTGTGCATGGACTTCGTCGTCTTAAACTGAGAGCTGGGGTCATTTCTTCCCTTACATTCAGCGTTGTTACCATTCAGTAGGGCGTAGGAATGCCCTCTCCACAATTAAGCACGCTATGGACATCGTTCGCAAGCTCGCGATATTTATTTTTACAGAAATTTCCTCTGGTTTTGAAATCTTCCGAAAAGGCCCATCCACATATATGTAACTTTGGCGTTGCGTTGGCGTCTCTTCAAGAACTGACTATGAGTATATGAATTCAAATGCAGCCGTCCAAATCGTAAAAATTCGGCGACCCTAACGCCAACACAAAGCAGGAAGATGACCAACTCTCAACTTTTCGCGTGCGTTGCTCGCAAACTGTTGCAAATAAATACAATTATGTGAAATATTTTTCCTTTTTAATAAAATGTGGGCAAGAAATATCGTTTTTCATGCAGTGATTGATATGAAATATTAATTTATCTGTCGTTAGTATGTTAATTTAGTGGCCAAAGCATTCGCTGCCAAGCGTTCATTGTAGCAAGCATACTTTTAACGTGAGTTGTGTCAAACCAACGCCAACGCCGAAGCCAACGCGAAAGTTCTATGTGGATGTGGACCGGCTTTAAGTCGTTTAACTTTCTGATAAAATTTTCGGGCTTCTTTCCTATTCCTCTACATTTCAAGATCTTCGTTCTCGCGTATTTTGGCTTTTTTCTTTCTCTTCTTATTACAACAACCACACATAGCTTCCCACTTTACCTACCTATATCGATCCCACACATATCGCATTGCGCCCGATCGCAGTGTGACTCTGTACGCGGCATCTTTTCTCTCTGCAGCTTCGTGACATTCCTTATCCGGCCAGTTGTTCTTTCGAACTCGCTGGAATCCGATTGCTCCTTCGGCAATGGTACGGAAATGTAGTTACAATGCATAGCTTAAGTCGATATTTTGAAAGAACCCTCCATCCTCTCAAACTCACTCAGCTAACACGTAATTTCTTCTTTGCAGGATATATTAAAGCAAACCCGTGATTGAAACGTAGGAAGGGAATGCTCCATATCGTTACCTTAATTCACAAAGGCCCTAACCAACACTTTTTTCGAATCTGTATTTTTCACAGATTATATTCCGCTTTTTAAAAACCCCGGTCTGTTTTTTGATTGTCTTTTTATAATGTTTTTTGTTTCTCCTTTAAAATAGAAAATTTGTTGGTTAGCCCCTTGTTGAATGTTGTGCTATAAGCAAGAGGTCGACTTTGCTTTCAACGAGTTCCATATTGATACAAATTTTTTACCGAAAATTAAAATGCCTTCATTACAGAAAAAATGTCAAATCCTTTACCAGAAATAATTTTACTTTAAGAAACATTACTTGTCTTCTGCTACTAAATTTTGAACTTGAAGGCGAAATCCACATCTTAATATTCATCGTGGAATGGATAATGTGGATGACTGGATAAACTGTAATAAATCACTCGATATTAGAATAAAATCCAAAA